ACACTTAAGAAGTGGTGGATCATGGCAGAAGAAGTTGGATTATTAGAGGTAATGTGTGAAGGACCTGGCATTTGCTTTTAAATTGCATGTGAAGTGATTCGTGATTCAGTATTCATTTTCTAGTGAGAAAAAACCTCCCATATATGGACCCGTACGCACTAGTATTTTTGGCTCTATCAAATTTTCGGTTAGGCAATCAATGACGTTGAAAATGAACACTCACTGGTAAGTTGAGTATATTCTTGGCTACAAACTTTTCTTCCATGTGTGCAGCGGTTTGATTATCGAGCAAAAATTATGTTTTTTTTCTGGGGGGGGAGGGGGGGGGGCTTCTGGATTGATGACCCATTGATATACTCTATGAAATGCCGCGATGTACAGTTTCCTGCCAAAAAATAGTCTTAAACGGGGTTTTACTTATTGTAGTTTTCCTTCCTATTGTGCTTTTTCCTAACATGAATAGGAAACGGAAGTTATGTATCCACGTAACAACCAACACATTCGCCCATATCCCACCTCTCGCAACTGAATAGAATGTCTTGAGCAATTTTTTATTCTGACTAAAGTTTTAAACTAACTTTCTCTTCGAAATTTTCTTTCAAAATCCAAATCCGTAGAATAAAGGGGGCGGGGCGAGGAAAACTTGGCTTACATTTGTAAACATCTGCTTAAATTACAACTTGTTGGTACAGAGCCGTACTGAATTGTAGTTAGAAGAGAAAGAAAAAGCCAGATTTGTCACCTTGAATATATAGAATTTGTTTGGCCTGCAGAGCAGGTGTTATGCATATGTTTTCGCGTTTTTCAGGCAAGCGAAAGCAAGCGTGAGGCGAGCGCGGAGAGGCATTTATGGGTTCACCACGCATTATAACACAGCTAATAAATTCGTGTACTCAAATTCACTTGCGCGAGCGTGCTATAAATGCCCATTGTGCACGCTGATGACGTCCATTTTAAACTAACGCGTTGAAAATGTTATAAAACAAGTGGTTCATGCGTCAGCTCTGCGTTCATCGAGATATGAAGCACTTGGGAAGTTTGGGGAGCACTTAAGAAGCTAGAGTTGCTCTTGACTACGCCTCTAGCAACTCTTACGGATCTTTCGTGCCCTCCAAACTTCCCGCGTGTTTCGTATCTCGATGATTGCACGCTGACACATGAACCAATTGTTAAGTGACTTTTTAGTTTAAGGGATGAGGCATTGAGTTGGGGATGGGAGTACACTTAATTTTAGTAGTAGTCATAGTAGTATAACTGAAGTTAAAAAAATAAATGTACCAGAGTAAGCCACTTGATACCTCATCATAGCAAACAATGGAGGTTTCCTGGTCACGTCCGCATTGATTATTGAAATTCTATACCATGGTTAAGGACGTCTCAAGAACGTTCTTCCATATAGCTAAAAGAAATAAAAACGTCGAGCCTCAACTGCAAAATTACACGTTCTTATAAGAAAAGAGAAATAGTCTACATGGGACTGACATAATATCATTACATAATGAAATTTTTCAAAAAGCAGAAGTCTAGTTCATGTTACTTTATTCTTTACGCTGTTAATTATGCATGTTATTGGCTTCCCCATAGGGTCAATCCCTGGTCTAACCAGAGGGGTTGTAAAATCAGTCAACCAACTTTAGGAATTCCCTAGGGGGTTAGGGAATCGTACAAGACAAAGTCCCCTGGCTGAGGTGTCTCTCAGTAGAAAAGCCAACTGATATCCTTTACAAACTTGTGAATTACCCTAAGTAGAACAATGTCAAGATTTCCCCTACCCTCAGTCAAAGAATCTGACCAATCTCCCTGGTTGGCTAGGAGGTTAGCCCCACGGCGAAGGTAATGACATGCGCATTAGTCAATCGATTTTTCTGCTTACCAAGTTCAGCTTTTTGTGTTGCTTTACAGGAAGAGGTCGACGATAATCCACCTTTTTGTATCATGGAAGGGTCAACGTTTTTCCGCCGAAAGAAAGAGTGGAATTTATTTGGCGATTTCTCTCTGAAAATCCTAGGAGAGATAACGGAAGGTGGTTTCTGGGTCTGTGCATTTGGCACTCGCGTGCTTGGAAGGCACGTTGAACGGTGAGGCTGACATGTAGAATTAAGCGGACTTGGACGATAAAAGTAGTGAGGATTCTCACACACACACAAGACAATCACGTATTCGTATTCTCGTTTATGCATGGTTAAATTTTACCTGTAACCCCCTCCCCTCTCCCCTTCTCTCCCGGCAACCCCGGGACGGGTC